AAGCAGTCTCATAGATATTGACACACTATCAACAAATACAGTTACTTTAAAAAACTCACATAATATTAAGAAATAAAAATTCTTCAGTATTATTTTTTTTTTTTAAGGAAAAGAAAGACTAGAGCTTGGGGCTACTGACTCACTTTTTCTGTCAGCTGTCTGCAGCCTTGGTGAAGTTGGCTACTTTTCCTTGTTACTCTGCCAGGAATGACAGACATCTCGTAAAGGAACACGTGTGAGGAAGGGGCTGGCTTGCTCGCAACGACGGATCGGCTTTGAAAGTGCATGGCTGCCCTTGGGGGGGGGCCATGCTTTCTCTTTAAGAAACCCAACTCCTACTTGGGGTGACTAGGTCACTGTGACAACTGTGTCACCAACTGTTTATCTCTCTAACACACACACCAAGCGTATCGACGGCCCAACAACGTTCGGGAGGGAGAATCGTTAGAACGCGCGGTGCCACAGGCAGTGGAGAGATGCTGTGTAAGGCACAGAACACTGGAGCAGTCATTTTAAAAACACGTTTTGAAATATGTAACAGTGAGTAAGGCCGACAAGGAAACCAACACATGGCGGGAATTATGGGACGAAGAGAAATGCAGTCTGGAGAAGAGGCAGAGAGGGTACTGAGCCGTGTGTCACCGTGACTTCTCATGCGTGCTGAGGCCACTCCTGAACTGTTGCCCAGCAGGGACTGTGTGGCCTGCTCCCTGTAGCTTACCTGCTGGCCGTGTGGTCAGCATGATCCAATGCAGAGAACCGGGAAGGGGGTATGGCTGAGAAGCGAGGCCACATTTTCCCACTCTGAAGCGGAGTGGGTCCCCTGAGAAGTTGAGCTATTTGTAAAAGCAATGCTAACACTGACAATTCTTTCCTGACCAGTAGACCTGGTCCTCGTGAAAGATTAGTGAGAATTAAGGGACTGTGAGGACATGTGAAAGACTCTACACGAGTGCCCAGTACAAACGGCTCCCCCTTGATTTGCACTCTCTGTGCTGTGCCCACCCATCCCTGCCAGCTCCTGGTCAGAGTCTCGGCAGCTCTTGGTTTCTGTCTCCCTTGGTACCAGAGTCTGGCTATTTCTGCTAGCCCTGGCCACACTACATCCCAGTCAGGATGATCAACTCTGAGAAGACACCAGCCACACAACATTCTCACTGCAGTGTCCCAATACCCTGAACCAGCAAACAAAAGCTCCGAAAAGCAAAGAAAAAATATACCAAATCCATGAAACACATACATGCACGTCACTGAAGAGAACAAATGACTGGATGAGAGACGTCTACAGAAAATGCCAGTTTCCAGCAGAGTCCCTCCCACACAGCTGGCACTCACCAGCTGAGAGCCCCCCGCCCCCCAGGACAGAAGGTTCAGTGTCACCTGCCAGAGAGGGTCCCTTTGCTCGGGGAACAGCTCAAAGTACTTGTGTGCCAGCTGCACTGGGGGCAGCGTCTGCAGCTTCAGGTGGGTCCAGCTCTGCACGAAGTTCGCCAGGTTCAGGAAGGTGTACGAGCCCAGCCGGTCATTCCCGTAGTTGGACAGGTGGGTCATGAAAATGCTGATCTGAAAGGTAAATAAAAACGAGAGATCAATAAAACGGTAAATACAAAAGAGAGCGTGTGCATAAGCTCAAAGTGGCACCGAGGTTCTGGGCGGTCCATCCCCGCACCTTGGCATTTCATGAGCAGTGCAATCATCAGGTGGTGTTATGGGCTGATTGTGGCCCCCTCCCAATTCCTATTGAGACTGTAGCCTCGATGTGACTGTACTCAGAGCTAGGGCCTCTGGGGGGTCGCTGGGGTTAACTGAGGTCATAAGGGCAGGGCCCTCACCGGAGAGGCCTGGTGCCCTTGTAAGAAGGGGCTGAGCATTCACTCTTCCTCCCCCCCATCCCTCTCTCTCTCCAACAGCACACAGAGAAAAGGCCAAGAGCGGACACAGCCAGAGGCAGCTGTCTGCAAGCCAGGAGGAGGGGCCTCAGCAAAAGCTGAATTTCCGGCTCCTCAGTCATGAACTTCTGGCCTGCAGAGCTGCGAGAAAATAAATGTCTGCGGTTTAAGCCCCGTCTGTGCGATCTTGCTAGGGCAGCGAAAACACACTAACACAGGTGGAAAGCCACACCTTGGAGTTTGATTTCTACTTGAAAAATCACTCTTAAACTCACTCTTAAAATACAAATTGAAATTGGGCTTGGCATCCCCTCACTGTTCCTTCAAATTATAGTATTAATTTCCTCCTTGTAGAATCAACACCATCAAACCCAATAATCTAGTAAGTGCCAGGCTACTGGAAAAGCAGAATTAACAGTGCTAAAACTAAACAATCATTCCAGATCTTTTCTGCTATAGGTATGCTTTATGGAGTGGAATGTTAAAATGGAACCAGGCTCCAGTAATTCCTTTAATGAGGAATTTTTACTGTAATAAAGGAACTGTGAGTGTTCACTCAGAAACAGACTGCATTTAGTTAGAAAGCCCTCTGTACTCATCAACCCTCTTACGACTGGCCTGCCTCAACAGTAACTCTAAACGGTATTTCTGCACCATCTTCTCTGTGGATCAGAGACCAGTCAAAAGTGAAATCTAGACTGACTGCTCTTCAAAGAGCAACAGAGAATTTGAGTGGGATACGGTATAATCCAGTGCCAGCCCGTCAGGGAGTGGAGTGGGGTTAAGAATTCTAAATGCAGGGGTCTTCCACAATCTGCTCCGAAACGGCGGAGGTCGTTAACGCAGCTCACGAACGGGAATTCATCATTTTCTCCCATAAACAATGTTTGTGCTTGCTCCACAGTCCAGAATATGTTTACACACAGGTATTTTTAAAATTCATTTTATTCCTTATTATTTAGATCTATGCATATTTCAGAGCAACTAATATATTATAATTAAGTGCTTTACTAACTTCATTAGGAAAGTAAAAGTAATATGATGTTATAAATAATAATATTTAAACAAGTACAATGTGAAATTAACCAGAAAAGCAATCTCTGCAGGTCAGTATGTGGAAGGAAAGCCAAGTATTGTGGGCTGATTTTCATACGGATGCTTCACTGACTCTTTGTCGGGGGTTTATGTTCTTGGTGTGCTTATTTGGGCTATTTTGGACAGAAAATGGGTTCGCGGTAACCATTCCAAGAAGATGTCATGACCACCTGGTTAGAAGGGCCAGCCACGCAGTACAGGGTGCACGTGCAGAACTTTTGTTCCCAAGACCCAGCACACCACTATGTGACAGTACATATGCCAAAGAGGGCACCTTTTGTAAAAAAAAATAAAAATAAAATAAAAATAAATAAATAAAAAAAGCCCCTGCTCATATCGGAATTTGAAACCAGTGCTCTGGTAAGGCCATGCAAAGTGTAAGCTGAAGACAGCGGGTTCACTGAATGTCCTTTGAATGTGGAAGACACAACTTCTTACTCTGTCACACGAGCATGCTGAGAAAGATTCTCTGAGGAAAACCTGTTAAAATGATTAAGACAACCTCATGATGGTCGAAGGTGGAGCAGCATGGGAGAGCTTGTCCCGTTGTCCTTAATATTCCCAGATCACTTAAAACAATGCCTAAGAAGTATACAGCGCTGACCGTGGGCTGGGCCTGAATCCACGCCCTTCACATGGTGATGCGATGAAACCCTCACAGCAACCCTGGCAGGTAGGGTCACTGTGGTGCTTACAGGTGAGGAAACTGAGGCGCGCTGAAGGAACGGGTCCAGTCCCACGTCCAGGCTACGGCAGAACTTAAACCTGGCAGTTTAGTTCCCTAACCTGACATGTGATACACCTGACCCTTCACCTGAAAAGGTTTATCGGGAGTCCGACAGCCATCAATTATTTTCCTTTTGCCTTCTTGAAAATAAAAGACAAAGAATGTCTGTCTCTAGAAGAGAGTGGAAACTCTATGTATTACCTTGCAACTTAAAGTCTTTTTTTCTCCTTTTAAAGTAGAGTGACAGAGATAATGTATGGAACCTTAGATGAAAGCGTCTAAGACAATGAATCACAGTGTTTGAAAAGAATATTACCGATACGCTGTGAATGTCTATCTGAAGGCGGCATCATTCCTATCATATGTCCGGGCCATGTGTCCCCCTGGGGTGTACTCAGAGCTTTTCATGGTGAAGGTCATAAAAGAGAAAGTCTATTTTTTAAAAAAATATTTCTTACACAGTTTGTTTAGATGGAAATTTGAATCAGGTCCCCAAATGTTAGCTGACGCAATCCATGTTCTTCCTCGAGAGTCATATGGGAGCACGGTCCAGGCTCAGGGCGCCTGCGTCCGGTTTTCACACTGGCCCTGCTCCCCCTCTTTGTCAAATATGAGTTTCCCTCTTGGCAGGACTTGATTACAGAGTTTCTAGAACATAACACAGTATCAGTAGTTGATGACCAAAGGATCGCAGTTGTTGTCGGGAGAACTTTATAATCACCGCAGAATAACATGCATCTGGTCCTTATCAGTCTGCATTTATCTCGTGTCACTGCTGTAACTAAGAAATAAGACAGCAGGTCCTGAGCTTCAGGGAAAGTAGAGCTTCTCAGGGCGGAAGCTCTTATGAAGAACCAGCTGCAGGCTGAACGCCTGGAGAAGTAAAATAACGACCTAGGACTCTTCCCCCCGCCCTGTGGAGCTGGCAGTGTGAGATGAAAACTTAAGACACCTGTGAGTGTCTAAAATCTGCCAAAGACATTTCTACTTGGAAAGTACTGCAAAGGTTATTTTTATAATGTGGGCAGATGGGTATCACCCCTTCATGAAGGCATTAGCAAAATCTTTAAAAGGCCTTGTGGCTGACTAGGTATAAATCATTTATGCAGTTTCCTTAGGGGCACACGCCTGCTTCCCACAGGATGGATAAACTTAATGCAGGGCAAGTGGAAAATCCGCCTCTGGGGGTCAGTGGAGTCTGGAGAAGTTGGTGGCTCTAAGCTGAGCGCATCCCATTGAAAGGTCCCAGACTGAGAACACAGCTGGGCATCCTGGCACGACGGCTGGGTCACGGCTGTCTGGGCGGTGTGTGCACACGCCTTCTGGTCACAAGCCATCAGTGCTGGCACGCCGTCGGCGGCAATTCTGCACGCACAGCCCCACGGTGAGGTCTGGTGTGCCGAGAGCACCCACTGTGCAGACCGAGCCCTTGAGTTTTAGTATTTCCGGACAACGGGCTTGTTCAAAAAAGCAGAGCCTGTTCATCGAGTGCAGGCACAACAAACTGCATGAAGAGTGGGCGTGGTCTGAAGCCCCGCTAAAGGAAGCTGGAGGAGACGCAGCATGAAAGGGCAGCAAATCATTAGTGATTCACATCCCTGTTTCTTCCATGACGGGATGTACTCCTCGCGAAACCCACCCTCTCACTTATTTATTTTGATTGTCATTTCCTAATGTATGTAGGAAGAATGCTCTAGCCCAGTGCTCCCCAGAGCAGTGTCTAGAAAAGGCGCAACTGTGTCACCGGACCTGGAGCTGTGGCAGCTCAGAGGCGGGCGACATTCCCCAGCAGAGCTTTACCTGCCACATGACAAAGACAGGCCAGGACCACGTCCCATGCTGGAGTTTAGGAATAAGACATCAGGTGCTAGTCAGCAGGACCACTGCGGCAGCCATCCAGAGGGTGCCCAGGCCTGAGTGCCCGGCCTCTCACCACCTCAACTCTGAGCTTCTGCCTCTGTCCCTCAACACTCAGCGCTCTCAACTCCGTGTAACCAAACGTGAGTCAAGTCTGAGTTCTGCTTCCTGCCTGCTGCAAAAATAGAACACCAGGCTTGAAAGGCGCTCTAGGGTCTAATGATCTGTTAGAAACACAGAACGTCATTTTGAAATGACAGGCACAAGGCACACACGCCGAATTTGGGACGATCACTACCTACCTGTGGAATGAGCCCATGTAATAGAAAACGGGCTTTAAATGTAGAGATGTATGCACCTTGATGTTAGGGAGTTAAATCAAGATAACTGAACTCTGTGGGTAACCCTTGCATTTGGGTAAAACGCCGTCACAGTGACAAACGAGATGGAATTATATACATGTGGGTGAGTGGCTTACTTGCAAATTATACAGTTAATTGTTTTGTAAAGCATTTTACTTTGCTCTGCTTGTGAAGTTGCTAACGTGCAAAATATAGGAGCAAGGAGAAGGGGAAAAATGAAATAAAAACAAAGGCTTCATTTTATCTACAAAATGAAGCATCGGCCATCCACGTTGAGTTAAAAACTTCTCAGACTGCCAAATCTGAACAGTTCCCTTGCTTCTCCTACTTGGATGACAAACAAACGCCACTTAAGGCGGGCAGACCCTGACATCCATCACCAGCATGTCAAACGCAGTCCCTTAAGCCGGAACTTACCATCATTTTTGGAGAGTACATTTTTACTTAAAGTACACATTAAATATTTGGAAATAGTGCCTTTAAAAATCAAGTCATGAGTAGTCAGACACTGCTTCATCGGGAAGATACATTATTATTACACACACTTTGCAGAGCGGGAAGCGACGCACCGTTTTAAGGCAGCTGGTCCTGTTGTAACGCAGTCGTCCTTTTCGAGACGAGCATTAAATATGA